AGGAGGAAGAGGAGAAGGAGGAGAAGGAGGAGGAGGGAGAGGGGGAGGAGGAGGAGGAGGAGGAGGAGGAGGAGGAGGAGGAGGAGGAGGAGGAGGACGGAGGGGAAAGAGGACGGAAGGGAAGGAGGAGGAGGAAAAGGAGGGACGAGTTTCTATTCCCCGCCGAAAGCTTAGGGGGGGGCATCATCAAAGACCCTCTGCGGTTGTACATATACACATACATATACATACACATGCACCTATACATACATATGTGTATATATATGTGTATATATATGTATATTGCACATCGTGTGTCCCAAAGGGTGCGCAAGGTTTCTTTCGCCACGTACTTACACGAATCAGCCGAATTCTTACGTCTTGGACACCTCAAATCACGAAAAACAGCGAAACCATACGACAACGGCGAAACGTACAATTGGGCGCGTTGAAAACACATACGCAGGCTTCAGCCTGTCCGGAGGAAACGCGTCATCTTTCAACTCAAACAAAAAAAACGTTCAGGCTCACCGACCTGGACAGAAGAAACGGCTATACACTTGCGGCGATATCCAATATGGTACTCAACTCTACCTTTCACCCTGGCACCATGCTCACCAGGATTCGGGACTGGCGTGATACTGAACAAGTGATGCTCGCCAACGTTGATGAATCAACGGGTTGCGAAACTTATAGCACGTTTGCGGAAGGCGCCAGAAAGAGAGCAACGCGCATAAACACGTAGACTCGCATATGTGTTCACTGCAGATCTGATCCACCAACGTCGGCCGAATTCACTTCCAGAACCTCCTGACACATCAGCCGCCCCCACGACGCTGGTTAGGAATTTCGAACAAAGGCCCTCGGTGGAGTTCCCTATACGGCCTTCGGCGCGGCCCCCTCTGTTCGTCATCTGTTTGATGGGGGGTGACGAGAAAAGCTAGACTGCCCAAGATTGCCCTTCCCTTCTTTTTCGCCCTCTGCGCCCGCGCGCTCCAAACCCCAACGCTGCGGGGCGAGCGCGGCGCAGAGCCCCCGCGACGCGCGCCCGTCGCCCCGACGGGGCCCCAGCGACGCGCGCGGGTCGTCCGCTGCGCGGGGCAAAGAGAGCTAGCTCGCTGGCCGTTTGCGGACAAGGTTCTGGCTGCTGGGCAGAGCGACGACAGGCAAGCGAGGCGCTGGGCGGAGCGCAGCTTGGAGTTCCCGCGACGCGCGCCGGTCGCTCTGAAAGGGCCACAGTGACGCGCGCGGGTCGTCCGCGGCGCGGGGCCAAACAATCAAACCATCGAGAAAGGGCGAGGCTCGGGCGGGCCGCTCCCCTGGTCAAACCTTTCAGATAAACCCGGTAAAACCCAGCTCCCTGGCGAGGGCCGTCGCCTCCCTCCGGCGTCGCTTCGCGCGCGTCGCAAACAGCCCCAACTGCTTCCGAAACCCTGTGGCGGCTCCGCTAGGAAGAACTCGATCCGCGGCGCGCGCAAGAGCCGGGCGCCCTCGTGGCGCGTGGCGCGCGAGGGCAGCGCGTGGAGCTCCAGCCGCCGGCCGCCCCCCTTCTTGCCCTTCCCGACCTCGTGGCGGCCGCAATGCAGGATCGCGCCTGGGCGACGTCGGCCGAGGGGGCGGCGCGCCGGACAGCCGACGACCCAGGGCCAGAGTCTACAGGATCGAGACAAGGTCTGGCTGCGGACCGCATGCGCCCAGGCCGCGGGGCCGCGGGGCGCTTGACAGGTCTGCTCCCTGCGGGGCCGCGACGCCGAACTGGGCGCAGGAGCCGCGCGCGAGATGCGCCACTGGGGTCTTCGGTGGAGCTCCCTACGGGGCCACGAAACACCGCGCTGAGCGCAGGGGCCGCGCGCGAGTTTCGCCGCTGGGGCCTTCGGTGGGGCTCTCTACGGATATGCCCATCGGCACTTGGGCTGCATGCAAGACTTTAAGTAGCGTCAATGGCCGTTTTGGCCCCTTTTAGTTCGCGCGGCGAATGGGGGGCCCCGGTGTGCGAAGCGGCGGCGTGTCCAGTCACTGCTGCACGCGGCTCTGCCACAGTGGAAGGCATGGCGACAATGCCCGGGAAGCTAGAGCACGGGGCTGCCAGTCGAAACGCCTTTCTAGCAGCCAACATCATAATATTCGACAATGTACCTCGGACGTTCGAGTTAGAGCTGGAAAGCGGCGGCGCGTTTATGTGGGAGATAACGCAGCCACTGTTCCTGCTGCAGGATATGGTAGGCGGCTCCGCCGAGCTGCAGGACCTGCGCGCGGGCGCTGCAGAGCGCTCGCCTTGCGGCTCCAATAATCCATGGAGAATGGCAATAAGCCTGGACAAGAAGAAGCCGAAGAACAGGAGGAAAATAATGGCAGTGCCCATCAACACCCCCGAGCTCGGCACCTCGGCGCTGCGCCGCGAGATGACGCAGCAGACCGTCGCGCTGCGTCGGAACCGCGCGCTGACCGACGCGGTCGGGGGGTGGCCCGGGCTCTTTGGGATCATCGTGCAGATGCTTCGACTGGATGATCTGTCTTTTTA